AGAGAGAGAGAGAGAAAGAGAGAGAGAGAGAATGAGAAAGAAAGAGAGTGGATAATGGCACCGGCCGACGACAACGACTACTTTCCGAGACGCAACCGAGACACGCGAGCGTACAGAAGGACTTATGGAGAAGATCGGGTAATACTGGAGGAAGATGACGATTGTCTAGGAACCGCCGGACCAGTTTCTCCCAAAGTGACACACGGCTCGTAACTCGGAAGGTCGTCGATGCCAGGGTCAGATTGTCGCGCGAAACCGGTTCACGCAGATCAACATTCGAAGATCGTCCCGAACGGAGCTGGACCGTCGTGTTGTCCGCGTTATCCGGTCCACCTCGCGACTCCAGAGCGTTCTCGCGTCCCTCGGCCGACCGATGTCAATCGACCGGGCCAGCCGGGAGGACAGCAAGCCAGGACGAAGACGCGCGCGAGAAGTGGAAAATGGGGGACGAACGGGACGGCGCCTGGTCCGTTGGGGATCAAATAGTCGTCGCTTCAACGGGTCAGGGTCTCCCGGAATCCGCCGGAAGGGTAGCGCCGAGCGCACGCGGACCAGCATCCTACCCCCGGGCCCCTTGACTTGTCGGGAATCCAACGGTCGTCGCTTTGACAAGTCCGAGGGGTCCGCGGGAGTGAAGGTGGCCAGTTTCCTTACTTTTTTTTTAACCCTCTTTCCCCCCCAATGCCCGGGAGGAACGGGGGGAGGGATCGCTCAAGATGATCTTGGGCGCGTCGGCGCGGTGCCGAAGTCTATCGTACCAAAATCGCATCCGTCGTCGCGAAGAATCGAGGATCAGCGATAAGTCAAGGGGAGGGTGCAGGCGTAGTCGCTGACGCAGACACACTTCACACTTCATCCCCGGCGATCGCCGGGGGCAACTCATATTACAGTAGGACGGGAGGAGCGGGAGGAGGAGGAGGCCGACAAAGCCGAAGACGTGATCGGCGCGGTATCGGCGCGCCTTGTAAATAAAATTCCACCGTCGCCGCGCCGCGGCGTCCGCTGCTGTGATTCGCGGCCCGGCTCCCCCGCCGAGGAGTCGGCTCGCCGAAATCAACTTGGTCCAGGACACCCCCGGGGCTCCGTGAAAGAGGGACAAACGGCTCTACGAATCGTATCGTAACTCCCGTGGATCGCGGGGGGTCGCTGCGCGCGAGTTAAGGGCAATTTCGCACGAGGAATACCGATATCCCTCTCGCCGTCCGCGAGTAGAAGAAGATTCCACCCGGCGGAGGCAGGAGCTGATCCCGGATTGCGGAGCGGACGCCGCCGTGTCGGGCAACACGTACATACGACGCCACGAAGTACACACTATTTTTTTTTTATACATAACGCTCTACTCTTTAACCACGCATCTTTTTGTACTTGTATAAAGGCTTTTTTTTGTAGAAAAAAAGAATAAAAAAAAGAACGTCGCCACCGTTGAAACCCCGTGTGCGTCTCTCCTCTTTGTCGCTTCCGGCGTGCGCTGGTCCCCCCCGCCCTCTTCCCCGCGCCGCACCTAATTTCACCTCTTCCCGATCGACGCGATCGCGACTGACGGATCGCGATTATCGCGACTCCATCGCGTGCGGTTCCACGTCCCCCGTTCTACGACCCCGCCGCCCGGGGGCACGCTCGCTCCCCCCCCCCCCTCCCGTCCGGGCATCGACTCGGGCAACTTTTTTTTTTCCGCGTCGCCGTGTGTCTCCCGAAGAGACATCCGATCGTTTCTCTTTCTCTTCGTCGACATTTCGAGAGATCAGCGCCTTTCTCCTTTCACTCGCGAACCCGCGTGCCAGCGGTATCGCATTATCCTCGCCGAGGAGGGAAGGATCCGGGAGCTTCTCTGGACATGTAAATTCCCGCCGGTGCGCACGCGAGGAAGAGAACCGCTTCGCAAAAGGGCACCCGTGTTACGAAAGAGAAAAGGAGAATGAGCGGGAGAGGGAGGGGAGAAGAAAAAAGAGAAAGAGCGCGAGAGGGATCTCTGGCCATCGATAAAGATTCGAAAGTGGCTTTGCGTTCGCGTTCGAGACGACGTGGAATTATCCTCGGATTATCTGGACGAAGGATGTCCGGAAGGACGAGGCGGGAGGGAGAGAGGGACAGGAGAGATTTCGCTTTTTCTTTTCTCCCGTACGGCTCGAGGAGTTTCCTGCTGTCACGACCGCGAGACGCGTTCGCGCTTCTCTTCCCGCTCGAGTAATGCCCGAGATTAACATCATGAGCCCCCCGAGTTTCTTGATTACCGCGATGTGACGTAAGTCGCTCGCGTATGCGAACTTATCTTGCGCATTTCGGAGAGATCTCGCGACGGAGAGCGGCCTTTCCGTGCGCGAAGACGCGTATCTGAGCGGCTCGTACGCAACTGGCTACTTTCTGCGGAAGATCGAGGTAAAAATATCGAGTCTTTAGCGAAACGGGTGCTTCAATTTGCAGTGCTCATTGATTTTGTCACATTAAAGTCTTAAGCCTAATGCTCTCTGCGTCTACACGGAGAGAATTTTCTATTAAAATTTATCCTGAAAATCACGTAATCGCGGGGCAACATGGCATTTCGATGAATTTCATGAGAGTTTCTGGAAATTTTACATTTTACTAGTGAAATGTATGGAAAATGTTTAAAGCTCTCATAAAGTCCTTTTATAAAATGCCATGTTGACCCACGATCACGTGACTTTTAGGGTAAATTTTAAGAGAAAATTCTCTCGGCGTACTCTCTAAAAGTGCATTATAACTGTGAATCAGCGAATATATAGTTACTGTTTTCAGTGATAATCCACTGATTGACTTTTAGAGAGTAGAAACATATTCTATTTTGTGGTCAATTAATACGTTTAAAAAATTTGTGCGAGTTTATAAATTGTATATTGTACATTGCATAATCGTACATTGTCGACACATTTTTCAAGTGTTTCGATTTGTTTATATAAAATAGAATATTTCTAGGTGCAGAAAGCACAGTGTAGATTAGGCTTTAAATTCGGGGCTCGATGTTTCTTCCGCGACAAGTCGCCACTCGAATTCCAGTCAAGACTAGAAACCGAGAAGACGGTTCTACTTGTCTTTTTTAGTGGATTAGTCAATCATTCTGACCGAGGGGAAGTCGTTTATAGACGCTGCTATCTCGAAAACGCTTAATTAACATGTTTCGCAGGTAGCAGCCGCGGACATTTATGGCGACATTTATCAGCGGCGGTGCCGCGTGCTTACGACGACAAATCATTACAATGATTACGGATTTTCTCCGTGAATAACGAATGAGTAATTTTAAGGCCGGGGAGACAATAGGCGCGTCGCGTCGCAGATTTACGATCGCACGTTCGCCGCGGAGTCGGCAGCTGTCACGCTCGGATATGGCGGAAATACTTTGTATGAAAGTCAGTGAAATAAGCGGCGTGATATCGCGCAAACCTGCGGTAACCGAGGGGCACCAAGAAATTAAGAGTTAATCGAGATGCGGTTGGGCCCGGATTGTGCCACCGCACGAAATTTAACTGCACTCACTCGCGCGCGTCGCGGCACACGGTTGGAAAATTTGTGTTTTCTTGTTAAAAGAAATGCCCGTTAAAATTTTTGTGTTAAATGGTTAACACATTCATGTGTTAATTTAACAGATTGCTCTTATGTTAATTGACCTTAAATGTAAATTATTAAAATAACTGAAAAGAAATGTTAAAACAACACAATGTGTACTTATTTTGTAATCTTACACAATACATATGTTCTATATTATTAGTAACAAGATTTATCTGTTAAAATTTACAGAATGAAATGTTGATTTTATTCTATATAACATAAGAGAGTGATCTCGGACCATTTGGGTTATTACATCTAGGCCTGGATAGATCAGTTGGAAGAGCACTCGCCTGGCAAGCTGAAGGTCCTGGGTTCGAATCCTAGCTAG